GCCAGCTCTGAGCAGGCAGGGTCCTGCCACTGGCCTCCCTGGCAGGAATTCTGGTGTTCCCTATTTGAACACTGAAAAATCCCTGATAAAAAAATCCCAAGATCACTCTATAAAATACCCTGAAATCCATGTTCCTCCACAATTAAAACAAAAGACCACTATATATAGACAGACAGAGAGAGAGAAAGAGAGACAGTGATCAGTTGGGCAATGTTTTATTGATATATCTACAGTGTTAAAGTAGTTTGGAAATCTACCAGTATCTCTATCATCATAATAAAGTGAATTCTAAATACCTATATGTTTTGTTGCCCCCCAACAGGGGACACAGCCCCCCACAACAGGGGCTACAGCCCCCCCCCAGGGGTTACAGACCCCCCAACAGGGGCCAAATGGCCCCCACGGGGGCTACCACCCCTACCAGACTCTTAGCTTCAGTGAAGGTCCAAGTGGACCTAGACCTAAGTGCTGCTGGCTGCTCAGTTCTGTCATGAATGTCAGACATCTCAGATCAATAAGGTGCACCCTAGGGAGCTGTGCATTCAATCTATAGGTCTTGAGGTGACCTGGATAATAAAAGTTCACCCCCTTCCTCCAACCATGTAATGCCTGGTAAAAGTTTGAACAGCAGACATATTCTACAACTGTTGCAACTTTTGACACCAGACCAAGGGGTTCACCCAGGTTATTTTGGGGCCAGATAAGTCAAGCTAGTGAAGGGGCCACATGGGTCAGTAGTTACCCATTATTCATAAAGTAGTTCTCCTTTTAGGTTTGTGATCAGCTTCACAGAACCCCACTTGCTAGTTTTACATAAAGTTGGACAGAGATTTTATGGCATTAAGGGGGAGCAGTCAAGCTGCAGACAGTCAAAAAGGTTTTGGGGTCTAGTGAAGTTCAACAGCTGCCCCAACCCCATAGTGCCTGGGCAAAGTGCTGACAGTTGACATAGACTTGCTCCACCAGTCATACAACTTTTGGTGCCAGACTGAACGGTTCACCTGGGTCATTTTGGGGCCAGACTGGGTCAAGCCAGGGTGGGAGACTCTGTCAATCCACAGCCACTCTGTGCATCTTCTGGCATGCTGGTTATGGATGTCATGGGACACCCCCCATGGCCAAAAGCATCCCCCACACTAAAATCACACCAGCATCCCCCTTGAGGGAGACCTCTCACCACCAACAGCAGTTTCCACCCACAAAAAGATGCCCCACAGATCACTAAAGCACTGCATACATTGATTGAAAAAACAAACTTACAAAAATAAAACTTTAATTTAAATATAAATAAATAATAAAACCAACAAGTGGTAAAACTGAAATACTGCTGAATACCCACTCCCCTACCCCACAACTGGAAAGCAATAAAAAAAATGTATGATCTAAAATAACCTTGCCCAAGTCTTCTGCCTCTCAAAAACTGGAGTCCCAGCAGAGCAGGGGCAACCCTCTTCCACAGAGCAGAGGTGACCTTCTTCACCTATGCACTCATGTTGCTAAATATCCTCATACAGGAGTCTGGGTCAACGCATTGGCCATCCTCAAGAGAGGCACAGTTGGAAGGCAATTGGAAGAGAGAGACAGCAGATAGCCTGAAATGTTACAATGTACCCTAACCTATAGTTGTATGCTTTCCCCTCTTACCATATGCCCAACCCCACCCCCACAATGGCAGACTTACCACTGGCAGCATCTCTGGCTCTGGCTCCTGTTTCCAACATTGTGGCTGATGATGGAGGGGCTGGGGGGGTGGGGGTGTGATGGAGGGAAGTGGGGAAGGGTGGGGGGGAGAGCATGACCACAGTGGGTGGCAGAAGCTTAAACACAGTAAGTGGTGGTAGCATCTACCACCATGATAATGAGTACAGGAGTGGTGAAGGGTGTAGGGGAAAGTGGGACAAGAATGGGGTGGGGGGGGAGATGGTGGTGGAGAATGGAGGGGTGGCGGTATTCAGGTCTCCTTGCTGGACCTGAGCTCCTTGGTTGCCTGGACTCCATGACTGGGGTGGGTAGCTGGATGTCCTCTGGGTCAGTGTGTGTATGCTTCTAGGCTGTTTGACTCAAACCTGCAGTTCTGTGTTTCTCAAAGGAGAGCAGTTAGCAAACTTTGGCAGGCGGGGGGCAATGAAAGTCCTATGAGGTATTAAATGTGCAGAGCAGAATACTTCCAATGGGGCCAGAGATGTCCTCCTCTGTTGTTGCAAAGATGCCTCAATGCCTGGCCTAGCTTTGGATGTGCTAACTGGACCTATCGAAAAAAAGGTTGCAGGAACCTGACGTCCACATTAGGCAACTGAGCCTGAATTCAGGGTTTGGTAACTTCAGTGTTCCGCAGAGTGCCCCATTTTTTGCTGATGAATGCACGTCATGTAAAAAGGGGATGCTTGTAGACTTGGGGAAATTGGGAGTGCAATTTTATTGGTTACTTCTAGCACCTAGATGTGAAAATGGGACCTATTGAGACATGGGACCTAGTGGATGTGATAATGGGACCTATTGAGAAAATTGGCATGGGGACCTGACACCCACATTAGGCAACTGATCCGGAATTCAGGGTTTGGCCATTTCAGTGTTCTGCTGAGCATCCCATTTTTTGCCACTGAATGAGTCTCATGTAAAAGGGGGTGCTTGTAGACTTAGGGAAATTGGTAATGCAATTTAACTGGATGCTACTGTGCTTCTGGATGCCTGGCATTGTTCAACCACCTCAATCATCAACCCCCCAACACACCCTAGCTGTCAGTACAGTGAAACTGGAGATTACTAATGCAAAGTGGTTTCTTTGCACTATTTATTTAATGAACTAAGAAAAAAAGAGGTCAGCAGAAGATTGATCCATGTTGGGCTCTCCAGCTACACCCAGTATGTTAAAACATTCATTACACACAAATACCTGTAAATTACTTTCAAATACCTGCAAATTGTAGCAACAGCTGTTGGACAAGGGGGCTCACTACACAAAAACTGTAGCAACACAGTGGACAAAGGGGCTCACTACACACAATTCAGTGAATTACCATGTACACATGACAGATTTATGGCTGTATCATTGCAATTTGTTGTGTGTCAAACTAAATTACATCAGGATGCTGTTTAGTTTGTTATGATGAAAATAATTTAAGCACCCAAACCTCACATTTGTATAATGTATGGTGCTATTAAGCCACACGAAGGGGGATTTTTATTATATTTACATGGCAACATCGTCATGTGTAAAAGTGCCCTTAGAGAATAGCCAGACCAAAGGTCATGGAATGGAGAATGAGAGTGGAATGTAAAGAAGGGCCAGGGAGTTATGTTCTTTATGTTCTTAAGCTGCAAATAAAAGGCAAACAGTCACCTTAAAAAAATGGATAACACATTCCTTTCTTCTCAACAGAGCTAAGACTGTTGAGATAGGCAATAGGAAAATAGCAGCTTTGCCATAACCTAACGAGGTTGCTATGAGGAAATATGACTAACCTCCCAAGCCCAATATAAAAAAAAATGCAGCATGATGACTTGGGTTCTTGATCAATGTCCCAAGAACTAGATAAATCCTCTGGAGTAACCAGTCTTTTAAATCATGGTGCTGTAAGTTTAGAAGACTACAAAACAGGGAAATGTCCTTTAGTATCTAGCTAATTGTATTATTTTTTTGAATGAGCATGGCAAGATTTGGATGCCTTTCTCAATAAACCTCTAATGTTTAGGAGGAAATCTGGAAGGTGTGGCAGTGAGCCCTAATGCTTGTGATGATGTGATCAACATAGACTACCAAACTCGAAATACCCCCAAAAGTGTAGGGTTTTTTGCTACTTTATGACACTAGGATTTCTCTTGTGCAAGCAAGCATGGCTTTACTGTTGAACCAATCCACAGTTGAAATAATTAAGAAGGTGAAGAAAAACCTCCCATTCATTTAATAAACAAATATTTGTAACAGTGTGAATCTAAAAGGGGTGTG